TTCGATAATATCACCTCGCACACTCGACACGATGAGATCTTATCGGGAATTATGGTAATTCTTCCTCATAGCATCAATCGACTGTTTCAATTGTATTATTTAAGTTTTCTTCTTGTATGAAATTGTTTTAAACGATTGATTGTTTAAACCCCATACAACTAATTCGATCTACGGCGTTAAGGTGAAGGGCACCTCCATCCAAGGCGAGCGTCGTTCAGAGGGATCTGGCACTCAACCTCAATATTTTACTGAGAAGGTGTTCCGCAAAAAGCGAGAGATCTAGACGACAGGTGGCATGGGCACGAAGCAAGATCGCGTTTTTCAGGTCGAGGTAGAGGTGCATGTCGAATTTCATTTGTTTCATATGATTACTTAAATTATGTGTTAATGTTTTTTATTTTTAATACGATTCTCGGATATTTCCTTGTTATGAATATGATTTAGATTTTTTTTTTCGATAAATATTCAGGCCAGTTCGTCTATGAACCATTCCCTCAGTTGATTATTGTTCGAACAGTACATATTGGTATGATGCGAATTTTGGTGTTGTTGCATGTCGTAGTTTGCTGAAAACAAAACATATTATATCTGTAACAGAAGTGTGTGTTCTTAATATTCGCATTTTTTTTTACAGAACATATTATTGTTCGAACAGGACATATTTTTTTTACAAAACAAAACATATTATTGTTCGAACAGTACATATTTTGTTTTTGTTTTGACAGAATTTTGTCTTATCAAAATTAATTTTGTCGAATTTAAAAATAATATACCTATCAGTATGAAAACTGTTGAGGAAAGGACGAAGTATTTGTGACTTTTGAAAAATAACAGAGATTTTTTGGAATTAAATTAACATTTTTAGGTAACCTTCTTGAATACAAAAATAATAAGTGTAACATGAGTCCCACATAATCAATCAGTTGTAGCAGTGTGATGACATTTTCATGTTGCTTTTGGAGGGCGACGACGTGCCCCTGAAGCTTGTCGAGCTGGGCCACATGCCGATCCATTTCCTCGGTCAGCGCCTTGGCATGCTTCTCTCCCAGCTCGAATTCCCGAGCGGCCCAGGCGGCCTTCTCTTTCCTCAGCTCCTCAGCCAGTCGGGCCGCCATCCTGGAGGCCTCAATCTCCTTCTCGACAGCTTTTTTCGCCTCGGCCTCCGCAAGCACAAGGCGATTCTCCAGGTCGGAGGCCTGCTTTGCCTTCGTCTTCAAGGAGGCAATCTTCCCACGGCAGAGTTCGTGGTCGGCCTCCAACTTGCGGTGGTCGGCCAGGGCCCTTTGGGACCGATCGGCAGCCTGGACGAGCTCGACCAGTGCGCGAGAGATGGTCCCCGCCGCGTGTTGTATGAGCGACGGGGTGGAGAGCTGGGTGACAGCGGCCTGAGCTGCCGGGGTCCAAGCGACTAACGGGAGCCGAGACGCCCGAATCATCTCCTCTGGAACGCCTAACTGGTTGGGGATAGACACCCCCTCGGCGGACGGAGGTCCAGGTACCAATCGTCCGGAAAGCCGGGCAGGGACTTAGCAAAACGAGCCCTCCGCTCGGCGTCGATGGGGACAAAGGTGCTCGCCCCGTCCTGGTGGATATGCGCGGCCTTCTCCTGGACGAGGCCCGAGCTTTCAGCCTCGGCACCTTTCCTCTTCTTCGCCGCGGCCGGGTCCTCGCCACTCGCACCCGGGGCCTCGCTGCCAGTTGAGCTCGGCCCCTCACGAGCCCGTCGCCTCGTCAGGCGTGGCTCCGGTGCAGGAGAACGAGGGCCCTAGGGGACGGCCGGGACGGCACCCGGTGCCACAGGGGCGGTCACGTCGGTGCCCTTAGGGTTCGGCTCCTTGTTGAGCGCCGCCCTCTTTTTGGCTAGGTTCAAACGGCCAGACATAGCAGCTTTGGTTCTCGCCTTGAGCGGGTTCGGGTGTTTTCTGCGGTGTTTATTGGCAGCCTTCACAGACTCAAATCCCTTGAGCCTAAGAAGAGGGTAGTAAACTGCAAAAGAGTAAAGGGCGCAGTTAATACCGGGCAGATATTAGAGACTAAAATGACTGACAAAGTGCCGAACCGGGCTAAGAAGCTACCTGGTTTGAAGGACTTATTGATAATCTCCGGGCTGAGGTTGTGATTGAGGAGAATCTCTTCCTTGACAAGGGTTGAGTAGCGGCGTTCCTCTACGTCTCGTTCCAACAGAGTGACGAGTCGCGCAGCCAAGGATGGAGTGAGCGCCGAACTGTGACTGTGGACTGAAAACGCAAATTACGACCTGTTAGCACAAAAGAAGGAAAATCAGTTGGTGATGGATGTGAAGACAAAAACTTACGAGTATGTGAAATAAAATGAGTAGGCGGGTGCCGAGTAGCGTTCGAAGTCATCCACTCGCCGCCGACCCAAAACCAATTCGGCAGATAGCCGTGCAGGGTCTCGGGCAGTTTGGCCACTAGCGTTTTGTCGATGCCGGGAAGCACCGAGCTGTAGTAATTGCCGGTGTCACCGGAAAGTTTGAAGGCGAACAAAGACTTCACCTCGTCGCCGGTGGGGTCGGCCCAACCCTCGCGGCGATACATGACAATTAAGCTCACGAGGCGGGCAAATACTGTCGGCATGTATTGGCTGATGCCGACCTCGAGCTCGCTCAAGATGTCGTTAAGCGCGCCGGGCAGAGGGAATCGGAGGTCCAGGTGGATGCTGTGTCGGTAGACCCCTATACAACCCGGCGGCGGACAGTGGATCCGTTCTCCAGGATACGGCGCAAATAGTTGGACGCCGGAGCCGAAGTTGTACTTCCCTCTCAGCTGGGCCAGGTCGGCGTCGTCCAAGACCGACGCCGTATTCCAGGCCGTCACCTGGCTCGGCGTTGCCCACACCCGTTCGGGTCGGCGCCAGAATCTAGGGGGGGAACCGTCACCGCCTCGAGGGCGGCATCGGTGGCGGCGTTTCCCATTGGAACACGCTCCCGGCCTTTGACGTTGCCGCGGAGGGCCTCGTCTACCAAATCCGGATCCACATCAGAGTCGGTGTCCAGAAAGCCGAGGTCGACGGAATCATCGTCAGCCGCGGCCGAAGGGTTCAGGTCCATTTCGGCGCCATCACGCAGCGGCGACGGGAGGTCCTGAGACCCGCCGTTTCCGCCGCCGGAGGCCATCTCGACCGTCGAGAAGTCCGAACGGACAACGGAGATAGGAACGGCGGTGAGGATAATGTCCGCGTCGTCACCCGTAGATTTCGAAGGAGAAGACATCGCGATAGAAAGATGAGAAAGAGAAGAAGAGAAAACGAAATAGTAATTACCGAAAAATAGACAGAGATCATTGCCGGACAGTCCTGAAGAGGAATTCGAAGTTCGCCTCGAAAATCGCAAAGCTCAGAGATGCTTGAAAGTTCGAATTTTTTGAAGGTAGGAAAAGTGAGAAAATTTCTGAAAAGGGATATATATAAGGTCGCCCAACCAATCAGACGCGGACACGTGTACAGATCTTTTGAAATTCGAAATTTAAAGCAAAAGGAACCGAAACGTCCGAAGGAAGCCAACAGTCACATCGTTTCAAGAACGCTTGGCCAGGGCGCTGCCACGTGTCGCCCCATGTGAACACAATTAATACGTTTTAAACCGTTATGTCCCTTCAGAATGCGTGGCCTCCAGATTAAATTTCTCGATATCAGGTTCGTAAAAGTGTGGTGGAGATGCCGACCTCGAAAAAAGGTCGGACACGGATTCGATGGGCCCGGTTCGGATCCAACCAATAAGAGACGACCTCAGGAGCGGCACAATGGCCATCACCCGAGCTCGGGGGCCTGTATGTTAATATCCGAGCCCGGCCCCAATGAGGATACCGGTCTTACAGATCGGTAGTCGAACAATGGCCGGGCGAACCGAAGGAGTCGGTCACCAAAGCTGCACGTGGGTGCCGAGCTGGGTAGAAGTTAAAGCCATCGGGAACAGCGAGAGGAACCGGTCCCGAGCTCGGCACCTCACCCATTCAGTTATGAGGACGGCACCCTATTCGAAATCTCACAAGGGCGGCCCCCTAATAGGAATACGGTCTGAAAGATAATAAAATTAAGCCACTTGTCGACAAATGATTGCCGATGGGACATCCAACTCAGCCAAAACGTGTCCGCATTAAATGCAGCCCATGTTCACATTAAATGCGTGGCAGGTAATGATTGAAAAATCCAGAAATCACTCCCAATCAGTCAGAGAAGCGCCGACTTGTCCCGCCGAACTACTGTACGACAAGATAGGTGAACAGTACCTGAACAGTACCGCATTAAAGACCCCTATAAATAGCAACCCCCTCATTTATTTTTGGGTTGTTGAATCCCAACTACTTGTACTCCATATTTTCTCTCTCTAAACTTATAAGAACCGTGTGAGAATTATAAGTATATCGCAAGTGCCGACCTCGTACGAGAGGCCGACCTCGTGATCCGTTAATAAAACCGTAATTAAACCGTACTCTTTGTGTCTTTTCCATTATTTCTTCATTACAAATCTCTTTTTAACCGTTGACCGGAAACGCCCGTCAACAATTCCAACTAATCAAAGTTAACAGGATTATTTTTAAATCAGATCATATCTTGATACAAGTAACAAAATAAAAAGGTATTCTTAACAAAAATCCCACAAAATTTGTACGGTATTCTTAACAAAATCCCACAAATTTTGGACGGTATTCATATCTCTATAGATTTGGACGGTATTCTTAATAAAATCTTACAAATTTTGGACGATAATTACATTACATGAATTCGTGAATTACAGTTTTTAAATTAAAATCTCATCAATGTGTTTGTCCCTTACCAATTATTTAAATAAGTAAGTCAAAACATTATTTTTTAGGTCAACTTTACTATTTTTGTACTTTTCCAACAACCTCTTTATATTACTATAGATAGATACTACTATTATTGAATTTATTTTACGTGATAATACTATTATCTCTTTCTTCACACACTCTCTCTCTCTCTCTCCCTCTCGCATCTCTCTCTTCGCTCTCCCCTCGTAGAAAATCATAAGAAAAGAAAAAAAATGGCTGCCGCTCCAAACCCCACATCTCAGAAAATCAATCCCAACTCGAAAAATCCGGCAATGCAGTGGCAGTGGCGGCGAGAATGAGAACGAGGGCGATAGTGAAGGGGAGAAGGAGATTGGGGACGTCATAGATTTGAATATCCATGGCGTTCGATGGAAGGAGACTAAATGGGTTTCCTTTTCGATGGAGAGTAGGGGCTGTCCGAAGGGGGAAATGTGGACTTGCTTTGCTTTGGGTACGACAAAACCCACAGACCCATCGCCCTCGTTCTCAATCAACGGCAAAACCCTTTCACGGGCCGAAATAGTCGGGTACGTCGTGACCCGCGTGCTCAAACCAGACAAATTCCTCTGATTCGCCGTCGACAACGGCACCGTTGCATCCTCTAGCTCAACCACGTCACGTCTTCTTACTTCTTCAAGCGCAGTCCGCCAGGTGTTTGATCGATTGCCCGAACGCCTCGAAATTCGCCGCTCGAGTTCAGGTGTATGCTGTGACCAGGGTACGGGGTAGGATCACCGGATTCAGGGGTTTGGTTCAGATCTCGTCTCCGATGTGGTCATCGAGGTGGACCCCAATGCCTAGGTTCTAGCTCGACTGTGTTAGGCTCGCCAGAAAATGTTACGGTAAGGGTTGTGTTAAAGGTTCTTGATTTATTATTCATATCTCTTATACATTAGTTGTTAATGGAGCTTGTATGTAGATATATAATTAGGAGGAAAAAAATTGTTGGGATTTGTGTGTATTTTGGGTAGTGCCTTGGTATTTTGATTAGCAAACGTATTTGGAATTAAACTTATGAAGTTCCTAGGTAAAAGATTGATAATGTTGGTGTTGTTGATTTAGTATTGTTCTATGTGTTTTTGGGTGTTCGAATGAAAGTAGTTAACATTCATATGTTTTGTGCTCAAAATTTTGAATTTCAGTTTTAAAATACGTTCGTGCTGCCCGTTACAAAATATTAGGAACTTTTGAGTAAAGGTAAGGATTTTCTTGTTTAGATCACTATACCAACAACCAACCATATTGAAACCTTGTTATTTGTAAGTGGCAAATAATGAGTGAGCTAGTTCAGATCATATTAAGGACACTATGCTGAAATAACTAATAAGTTGGTCTGCAGCTCCCATTTCACTATGCCTGGAATGTAATGCAGTTAAAAATATACAATTTTTTTTAAATATATATCTTGTAGAGTTTTTCAACTTTTAACCTTTTGTGTGGTTCACTTATTGAGTGACATGGCATGGAGAAACTGGAGATATGTGTGTCTATAATGCTAGCTAGTAACTATTATGAGTCCATTGTTTGGTGTTATTAGAAATTTCAGATCCTAGGTTAATTAAGTGATGTGGGATGGTGGAGCCTTTGTATTTTGTGGCCGGAATATTTGCTCCTCTTTTTCTGTCTTTTGTCATTTTAGGCTTTAACTGAGTGATTGCCATAGTTCTAAGCTCTTTTTTTCTTTAAAAAAATAAATAAATAAAGAACTTATTTGACCCGGCTCGTTGTATTTGTACCCGTGAGCTGATCCGTTCATTTCGACTTCAAAATGTGTGTTGGGCTCAGGCTTTCATCATGTTGTGTTCTGAATGAGTTCTGGCTTTCTGGGTTTATCTTAATGTGTTAGAAAAATACATGCAACTAACTGCATATTAAATTTTTGGTTTTTATTTAGAAGTGGACTGGTGCTAGATTGTTATTCTTTTTTTCTTTTTATGGCCCCTCAACAAAGAGATATATCATTATTAGTACTAACTTTTGAATGTCCTGAATAGCAGAATAGAGTGGATCTAGAATTCCTTTTTGGTTGTTAAGTTATTTAAGAAAAGTGATAAATGTTTTGCCACAATCTATATCTATATCTATATATTGAAAGACATTGATGGAATAATTTAACCAGGCGCAACCTGCCAGGTGTTCGGTAAATCAATCGAACAGCTCGAAATTTGTTACCCAAGTTCAGGTGGGTGCTGCACGGGGTAGGATCATTTCATTGTCTTTGAGCAGTTGAGTGACTGATGAGTGTACAAAGTCAAAGGCACCATTTTCTCTCCGCAAAAATGCACAAGAATTTGGGAGTGATCAAGTGGTGAATGAATGAAGTTTTTTTGGTGTTTGTAATTGATGGTTAGTTGCAAATGGTTTGATGGAGATTTTTTGGTATCAACTCTTTGCCATTTTTTCAGTTGTTTGCTGGGGTTGTGGTGGTCTGCATGGAGTAGAATTTGGTACTTAGTGTTTCGCTTCATATTGTTTTTGGAGTTTTTGTTAATATAATACATTGTTTTCCTACAAATAGTAACAATAATATTTGTATTCAGTACCTATTTTTTATCAGGTAGTACCTACTTTGGTCAACGAAACTTTTCACGAACTCAACACGCTAATGAAAAAACACTACCAACACTTCATCTCATTAAAATGGTACCAGTTTTGGGAATAATAGTACCGCTTCTTCTTCTACGAAATACTTGTTTTTATCAATTAGTATCAACTTTTGGTCAACGAAAATGGATTATTCAATTATGGTCAACATTTATAATAATTGGTACCAGACCTAGAGTAGTATAGTACCACTTTTCGGTGTTGTAGTACCGAATATCGGGTCTTTAGTACCACTTGTAGCGAACACATAAAAACACCGAATTTCGATCTCAAATGACGTTTATATGACCAATAATCACTCTCACATTAGTTTGTATGAGATTTAAAATGTTTTAAATTGAGTTTATCACAAATTGGTTATGAACTCGACACACTAATGAGAAAACACTACTAATACGCTTCATTTCATTAAATGACACACTTCGACTCATAGAATCGTCATACATGACTACTCCAAATTCTAACTATATGTTTGAACTTTCACTATTCTTCATCAAAATCACGCGTGAACGATCCACCTGTCATGGTAGACATGAAGAATTAGAGAAATCATGATTCTTAAAATAGTACATGTTTTAGCCAATATAGTACCGCATCATGTTCTACGTGGTACCTGTTTTGATTGATTAGTGCCAACTTTTGGTCAACGAAAATGGATTATTCAATTGTGGTCAACATTTACAATAATTGGTAGCAACCCTAGAATAGAATTGTACCCGATTTCGGTATTTTAGTACCGGATATTGGGTCTTCAGTACCACTTGTAATGAACACATAAAAACACCGAATTTTGGTCTCAAATGATGTTTATATGACTCATTATCACTCTCACATTAGTTTCTTTTTTTTGACAGCACTGTCACATTAGTTTCTATGAGATTTAAGAATGTGTTTCATTAAGTTTAATCGCAAATTGGTCACGAACTCAATACACTAATGAAAAAACACTACTAATACACTTCATCTCGTTAAAAGACACACTTCATCTCATTGAATGATCATACATGACTACTTCAAATTCTACCTATATGTTTTAACTTCCACTATTTATCAACCGACTCACGCGACAACGATCCACGTGACATGGTAGACATGGAGGATTAAGAAAATCACGATTACTAAAATGGTACCAATTTTGACAGAAATAGTACCGCTTATTCTTCTGCGTAGTATCGGTTTTTAATCAATTAGTACCTACTTTTGGTCAACGAAAATGGATTAGCATATTCCTATAATAACTTGTCATAAGATAATTTATACGCTATTTTAGGCATACATATACATGTTCGGTTTTAGGCTTGAGATATATTTTTTTTTTTTACGAAACGATAGAGATATTATAAACTCAAAGCGAACCAAGTTTGAATATTACAACCCAAGTCCGAAATAGAAAACTGAAAGGACACGCCTAAAGCGGCCTAGAACCTCAACAACTAAAAATACTAATCAAAGAAAAACTAAAACTAAAAGCCCAAGAGAAACTACAACACCATCCACCGCCCAAAGGCCTAGAGGTGAAAAGAAAACCCCAACAACAAAACCAAGCAAACAACACAAAATATAGATCCAAACATCACAACAAAAAAGCAGAGATACAATCACATTAAGTCTTCACTTGGATGAAATCCTGCCAATCCTACTGGGCAGCCTTCAATGTGACTTGTATGGGCATGATGATATTTTGGAAGATGCAAAGGTTGCGTGTTTTCCAGAGCCACCACAGGATATAGGTAGTAAGTTGTATTCTGGCCTGTGATATCTCTGAATTGTCAATGGAGCATATTTCCATCCACTAGCTTCTGAAAGATGAGTCATGGTTTGGCAGTTGAGTCCAGGAGATAGGGGCAATACTCCACAGCTGAACAGTTCTTTGGCAGTGAAATAAGACATGGTTTATTGTCTCAGATTCCTCTCCACAAGTTCTACAGACCACATCAATGTTCAATCCTCTTTTCCTCAATTTAGTTTTGACTGGCAGAGCCTCAGCAATGCATTTCCAGATGAAAATTTTAACTTTATTGACAATCTGCATTTTCCAGAGCCTCAGTTTGATCTTTGAACTTGGTGTGTTGCTGCTGCTGGGAATTTCAAGAGAGAAATTTTTTGCTGGGACAAGAAGGTATATGTGCTGGAGACTGTGAACTCGCCTTTCTTGTTGAACTTCCAGTACAATCTGTCCTGTTTTCCTGGTTTAAGGGTCTTGATATCAAGGATTGCTCTGCTGTCCTGCTCATTAAAAACTTGGTTGATGAGCCAAGAATTCCATTCTAGCCCTGAATCAGAAATAAGCTCCTTAACCCAAGTCAAATGCCCCCTGGAAATTTCAATCAGAGTTGGTTTAGGATACATTAGTTTAAGAATCCAATTAACATCATCTATCCTTGTGGTTACACCATTTCTAATTTCAACATCATATCCTTTGGCAAATGTAGGCATGAGTTCCAACCAGTTAGACCACAACCAAAAGCAGATTTGAGTTTTGACAACATCAAAGATTGAACAGTTTGGGAAGTACCTGTCTTTTAGAATTTAGCTCACCAGAAGATTTGGTTGAGAAGTGATCCTCCATAACTGCTTACGGATGAGGGCTGAGTTAAAGAGTTTAAGGTCCAAAAAGCCCAAGCCACCATTGTCTTTTGTAAGGGTCATCAGTTTCCATGATTTCTACTGAATACCCTTGCTTTGTTCTTCATCTGTACTCCACCAGAATTGTGAGCAGAGGGAAGCAATTTTAGCACAAATAGCTTTAGGGATCATGAAGTAGGACATAGTGAACATGGGAAGGGCTTGAAGCACAGCCATAATGAGAACTGCCTTTCCAGCCTGACTCAATAGCTTGGATTTCCAGTTTTCAATTTTTTGTTGAACAGAATCAAGAATGTACTGAAAGGTGTCTACTTTGGATCTGCCAATCCCCAAAGGCAAGCCTAAGTACCTTGTAGACCTGTGCTTTGTAATGCCTGCCAAGGAGTCACAAATTCTATCCTGCAGAGACTCTGGTGTTTTCCTGCTAAAGAAAATTGAGGATTTGCTCATATTGACAGCTTGGCCAGTGAAGAGTTTGTACCTCTCAAGAATGGAGATAATAGTATTTGCCTGATCAACTGTAGCTTTGCAGAAAAATAAGGAGTCATCTGCAAAAAGAAGGTGTGAAATAGCAGGGCCATTTGTTGAAAGCTTTAAACTAGTAAGATGACCTGTTTGAGTAGCATGGTTGACCAGTGCAGATAACATTTCAGCAATAATAAGGAACAGATAAGGGGAGAGAGGATCCCCTTGTCTTATTCCTCTGGATGAAAGCACATAACCATGAACTGCACCATTTATCTTGAAAGAGAAAGAAGTTGTGGAGATGCAGATCATGATCAAGTCAACAAAATATTTATGAAATCCCATCTGAAGCATGATTTTCTTAACACACAACCATTCAACTCTATCAAATGCCTTCATTAGATCAAGTTTTAAGGCCATAAAACAATGCTTGTGGGAGTTATGCCTATTCAGATAGTGAAAAGCTTCTTGCCCAATTATAACATTGTCCATAAGTTGCCTCCCTTTAATAAAAGCATACTGAGAGTCACTGATACACACATCCAAGCATTTCTGAAGTCTAAGGGCAAGGATTTTAGAGAGGATCTTATAGACAACTGTACACAAGCTGATGGGTCTGAATTGATGCACATATTCAGGATTGAGACATTTAGGGATGAGAGTGATAATGGTGTGGTTCCAGTATTTCAAAATAAGACCTTTATCATTTAAAAAGCTGAAAATGGCAGATACAACATCAATTTTGACAATATCCCAAAAAGATAGATAGAATGTAGCAGTCATACCATCCTCTCCTGGAGATTTGTCAGCTTGAAGGCTGAATAGTGTTGCTTTGATTTCCTCTTCTGAGACTTGTTGAAGCAAAAGATGGTTCATCTATGTTGTTATTGAGGGGGTGATAAGAGGAAGTATGGAATCCCCATTCCAAGACCCTTCAGAGGTGAATAGATCAGAGTATAACTGAGTGATATGGTTCTGAATTGTCAACTGGGTGTCACAGATGGAATTCTGAGTGGTGAGTAATCTAGTAATTGCATTCTGTCTCCTTCTGACCATAGTGTAAGCATGAAAAAATTTTGAATTGTTGTCCCCTTCTTGAATCCATCTCACTTTTGCCTTTTGCTGCCAGAACATTTCTTCTGCTTTATGAGTTGATTGAAGATCTGTTCTTGTGGTAAGCCATTCATCCAGTTGGCAGAAATCCCTTCTTGCTGTAGAGAGTTCAGTTTTTTGGAGAGGTTGTCTATGGTTGATTGGTTCTGGGATTTGAAATTGGCACTACAAATGAGGAGATCTTGTCTAGTAGCCTTGACCTTTTCCTTTAATATGTAGAATGGAGTGCCTGAAAAGTTTGTGCTCCAAGCATTCTGAACCACTTCAGAAATGCCTTCCCTAGAGAGCCATCTCTTGTCAAAATGGAATCTGCTTTTCTTCATTTCTTTTTTGTCCCCTGACTGAAGAATCAACAAGGAGTGATCTGAAGCTGACTTAGCTATGTTTGAGACAGAGGCTTGAGGATGGAGTTCTAGCCAGTCAGGTGATGCAAAACCTCTATCTAAGTTTGCTTCAATCAACCCCTCAGCAAATCTGTTATTGCACCATGTGAAGTTGTATCCTATCATTTTTATTTCCTCTATCTGCATACAATTGATGAAGGAGTTGAAACCAGACAGGCTGGAAGTAGATCTAGGAATGCCTCCCCTCTTCTCCTCCCCCTTGCAAATGTCATTCCAATCTCCAATTATGTGCCAAAGGTGACCCCATGATTGTTGATCCACCTTTAGTT